GCTTTCAAACTGTGTTGATAAATTTACTACCCGATATCCCAGACACTAGTTAGAAAAGCTACAGATTTACTTAGCACAGGTTGCAACAAGTTCTGCTCTGGCATCCCTCCATTTAGACTAGGAAAGCTTCAGGGAACTCAGTATGATGAGGAGTAGCTTTTAGAAAAACAGGACCCAAGTCTTTTATAGTATAATAATGATAATCCATCTGGAAGAGTCTGCACAAAACCATGCCATTTGCTTATATGGCAAGACCTCTTAAAGGGCATACAAGTTTACTTTATTTCAGCATTCTAGCCTGTTTCAAACTATTTTTAAGTTTTGCCCCTTCAGGGCAAAATAATTTGTAATTCACATCCCAGACAGGAATGTGCCCCCAAAAAATCAAGGGCTGTTTTCACAAAAAACATGTACTACACCTAGATCTATGAAAATTGTGGCTTTCCTTCAACCTGCACTGTGGTTTGAAGGAGTCTTGAAAATTTGCTACCTGGGCAAAATGCAGAAGTTACAGAGAAGCCATGCCAGGCTATTCATGAAGTAATATGTTTTACTCACTTGCTTTTTCTAGTAAACCAGTGTTATGTTTATCTTTTACATGGAATTAATCTCATCTATTAACTCTTAAGCTACAACTGTTCTGTCATTACTTCAGTCATACAAGACATAAAGGTGTAATTGTATGCTTACTTTTTACTAATGACATCTTGCTCACAAGTACAAATTGGCAGCCACACACTGTATTTCTGGAAAAACTAATATAAGGTTGCGCTTCAACTACAAGAGTAGTTATCTTAAACAACTAGAATGGATCCTCTCAAAAAGAAGGGAGCAAATCACTGGAGCAGATCTGTTGCTAAATTTTAGTTTTACCAAGTAAGGTAATACTTTTTCCTCTATGTTATCAAGTAGAAGTAATAGTCCTAAGGAATGAAAACGAAGGTCTGATGATAATCCTGTTTGGAGTGACTAACTAGATAAAGAAATAATACTACAAGTATCTCAATTGTGACTATACAGCAAGTTTTCTTTAGTCTTAACTTCCATATAATGCACCTTTCAGTTGTATTGGGAAATCCTGTTTTCTTACAAATGCTGCTTGTCAGTTTTTTTCACTTGTTGATTGTACTTAAAACTGTTCAACACAGGGGGCAGCAGTTTGCACAACAGATACAGCAGCAGAATCCAGAGCTGATAGAGCAACTGAGAAACCATGTCCGGAGCAGATCTTTCAGTGGCAGCACTGAAGAGCATTCCTGACTTAGAGGAGGCATGTGAATTGGAATGGTATATATCCCCAAAATGCATACCATAGTTAGTAGCAAAAGCACCATTGTAACTCTTCTGCTTGAATAGAAGACAGAAAATCCTTTGTGCGTGTTTGCAAACAAGAATAAATCTGTTAAACAGATCTATTGCACATAACTTGGAACATATCATTTCTGTATAGTTACTCCTCTGAAAATTAATACACTAAATAGGTGGTTTATTAAAATCCCTAAGTACAAGTCATTTTCAGTATGTGCATTAGATTGATCTCCAGGGCTATTGAATGGGGAGGAGTTTTGTAGTGGGCTGATCTTGCATAACAGCTTGATTCTAAAAATCTTACTGTAAAAGGCACGTTATTCTTATGGTGAAAATCATTATGGCTGTACTCCCTGACAAATACTGAAACAGTAGGCCCATCTGATGTGCCCTTTTATAATGATCATAAATCACTGCTGGAGAATAGCATACTTAATGCTTGAAAAACTCTGTTTCTTTAAGCCTGTGGAGGGGCCATCATTAGTAACATGAAATATTTTTCAACTTCATTGGGCAGGAGGGAGTGGGATGACTGCATATGAAGGAGCACAAACGGAAGAGAAAGAAAACACTAATCCTGAGTAGGATAATACAGAAAAACCAAAACGAAATTTGGCTTGGGAAAGGAAAGAGTATTAAGAAGTTTTAGGTTTTTCTACTGCCACGTATACCCTCAAATCATGATGGTAGCCCTGGAGGTCAGTATTATGGCACTATTTTCCTAGGCGTGGCAAACTGTATTACATTCTGTATGTATGCAGTATTTAACACATGCTTAAAATTCTTAACTGTAATAAGCTAAAACTGATCCTGTGACTGTACAAGTAACTAGTACTGAAAATTTATCAAAAAATAATTGCCTTAGAAAGCAGGATTCTCTTTCTATTCTTGTGTGGTAAATCGCTGGCTTAAACAATTAAGGATTTTTTTTTTTTTTTTAAGTTTCATTACACCTATCTATCTTAAGTGATGGTTATATAGCCAAGTTAATGGTTTTTCCACTCTACATTATTTCTGTTCCTACCCTGGCTTTTCTTGCTCAGTTAATCTTACTCTTTCAGAGACTACTGCTTTTCTGTATTTTTATTACGTTAACTTTTTAAATTCTGCTTACTGTTCACACTGCTTTCTGGTACAAGGTACACTTGTTTTTACTCCAGGGATGTTCTCAACCCTCACACTTTCCTCCTTGTATATCAAAAGTAATTTGAGGAGCCTGCTTTGATTCCTAAGACAAAGTGATCTCTGCTGGCCAGTTAGACTGGAGAAGTTATGTGGAGGAATAACGATAGACTCCCAAATGGAGAAATACACAGGAATTCCTGGACCTCAGACATTATATCTGATTCATCTTGTGGTCAAAAAAGAGCACCTCAGGTAGAAGCAAATGCAAAATCTGGGGCTGAGTCACATACTTGACTCTAACAAATGCTAGCTGTGCATCTGTTGTATGAGTCTTCCCCTGCTAAAATGGTGGGGGGAAATACAGCTGGATCCAAGGAGAAATGAAAAGAATTGAATAAAACACAAAAATAGGAAATCGGTATTACCATCTGTTGAATAAAGAGGTAAAGCTTAATAGAGCAACTTAAACAACTTTAAGACATTTCACACTTTATTCAATAGAGCTTGCCTATACACAGCATTAAAATGCTTTTTAAAATTCTCTGTATAAGTTGCTGTAGCTGCCTGTTTGAGGCTGTAGAGATAGTTAAGCTTTACATCAAACACATTTCCAAGTAACAGCTTCTGACTTAACATCTGATGATAAAGAAGAAAATCGCTAACAGGATCTTTTTTCAGAGGTAGTTCAGATCCTGAATCTAATCCATTCAAGAAAACTGCTACTCAAGTTCAGTTACATTTAATAGGACAGGATACCGTTTACAAGATCGACGGAGGCTACAACTACTGTACAAACATTGCCTGGAGTAGTGTGTTGCATCAGGAGAGATGCATTGCTCCTAGCATATCTCCTGTTAAACTTCATGGTTCCTCTTAGTTCTCTTTCATATTTTCAACTGCTCAGTGTGAGTTTTACTAACTTTGGTAAGGGGAACCAGTAAATCCAGAGTGGACTGGACAGCACTGCAGTATCTCTTACGCTCAATTTATCCTTACTTTGTGACAGCAATCTTCATGTGCTCAGTTACCTTTCTACTTTAA